CTGCCTCTGCCTCCCGAGTGCTGGGATTAAAGGCGTGTGGCACCACTGCTCGGCTTAGTTCAAGATTACTTAGTATGAAATCAACAACAAAAAGCATTATTATCTTAAACTACCCATAACGATCAGCTTTGAGAAAACCACCTGTGGGTACTGTAACTTGTAGCCAGCTGTCACCCCTGCACTTCTTGTTTATATTTAAGGTGCATGAGATTTATTTTTCCTTTCCTGCTCCCACTTCCTTCCTCTCAGGCATAGGACACAAGGACTTCCACATTACCAAACTACACACCCAGTCCACAAAAATAATTTTCTATAAGTATCAGCACACTTAGCAAACTAGTGCCCAGAATTATTAGCTATACACTAGTTACCCATTAAAAACTAACCTTGTAGTTTTTCAATTATTTTTTTCTGGGGTTTGAAAAATACACAAGACATATTTTCTAGCTTTTCAAAGGGATCCAAACAATAAAATTTCAACTTTAACAAAACAGAGTGGCTTTCATATGAGTTGTTAAACACTGCAAAAGTATGGTGAGCTTTATTTTAAAGGACAATTCAGCATTTTAATCATTATTTCAATGACTTAAAGTTTACCTTAACTTTTAAGCTTTTGTTAATTTTTGTGTGTGTGTGTGTGTGTGTGTGTGTGTGTGTGTGTGTGTGTGTGTGTGTGTGTGTTCTGAGAATCAAAACCAGGGCTTTGTATAAGGAGGCAAATGCTGTTAAGCTTCATTTCTAACTTCTGGGGAAAAAAGTTCTATTGTTCCAGATCCTGGAAAAGGCTAATAAAGAACAAACACCACAGTCACAAACTGTAGACTGCTTAGTATTCCTGGTCTCCTGGGGAACTCTGTGCATAGGAAGGGAACTAAAATGAGCACCTATCTACAAATAATGTGACTGATTACGTTCCAGGCAAGTAAGCTCATCTGCGGGAACCAAAAACCACACCTAGACAAGAAAAACTAACATTTGACACTGATCAGTGATATCATAAAGCAAGCCAAGAAAATGCTTTAAGTTGTCATTGTGAGAACACAACAACCCAGCCACTCCACTGGCTAATGCACAACACTGGCAGAATTTATCCTCACTTTCTATACCAGTAGGGCTCTATCTGCTTTCCAGGCCACTTTGCCTTTTAGTCACAATGAAGATTACTGAAGGAGCTCAAACTGTGACCCTAATTTTTTGTTACATAAAGCTGCTTATTGTTTTTCACATTTTAATTTTGAAAATTAACTTTGCTTGTGTGTGTGTGAGACAGGGTCTTTTTATTATGTAGCTTTGGCTGTCCTGGAACTTGTTATACAGATCAGGCTGGTGTTAAACTCAAGAGATCTGTCTCTTCCACCTTTTCAATAAAAGCACCTCCACTTTTATTTATTTAAGACTATTTCATTTCATTTTTTCGCAGTTTTTAAAATAAAAATATAATCATACTCTGGTTTACTGGCATACAAGCTAAGGTGTTACATTTTCTGCATTTATTCTCCAACTTCTATCAGGTATAGAGTTTTATCTACTTTGCAAAAGCTCATGGTTACTTTCATTCATGCTATATCCTCACAGCATCTAAATGTTGATTTTTAGATTGGTACAGATAACATACTAAGTAATAAATTATCAGAAGATAATATTCAATGTAATAAAGCAATGAAGACTCCTTTCTGTTTTCAAAATGCTCTAAAAAATATTCTTACCTGAAGCTTATAAGAGCTCTGCTATCCCTATTTATCAGGTAAGAAGCAAAGAGATATACATTTATATGCAGTTAAATAATTACGATTCAATACATTCCTTAAATGAGTCTTACGAGTTCATTTCATGCTGGGAGGTGGTGTATGCCTTTAATCCCAGCACTTGGGAGGCAGAGGGAGCAGGATCTCTGAGTTTGAGGCCAGCCTCACATACAAAGTGAGTTCCAGGACAGCCAGGGCTGTTACACAGAGAAACCCTGTCTTGAAAATCAAAACCCAAAACAAACAAACAAAAAACAGAGTTCATTTACATAGCAGTGTTCATTTCTCAGTCTAAAGCTGGCCTTTTCTAATCTGTCTAGTTAACACAGAAATTCAGGCACCATTAAGAGGAATTTATCTAATGTCACCAATGGAAATATAAATCTAGAGTGTAAAGTAAAATATGGCTCACAATATACTTAGAAAGCAACACTGCAGAATTAACTGCAATTAGCAATCAAAATCAACCACATTAATGTTTGATTGCTATTGTTATGATTGTTGCTGATATTATAAATCATTGAGACATGGTCTACAGTGGCCCAGGCTGACCTCAAACCTGCTATACAGATGAAGATGGCCTTGAACTCCTCCTGTCTCAGCCTCTCTAGAGTTGGGGTTTCTAGTATTAAGCTTTTTCGAAACATGAGAAGGAGTGGGGTGGGTTGCTTCTGCCCATTTTGACCTCTCTGGATACAGGGTCTTGTTACTCAGCCCAGGCTTACCTTGAACTTGTGATCCTCCTGCCTCACCACCCTGAGCACTGGGATTATAGGTATATGTCATTATGCCCCATGTATTCATTGTTTTAAAGAATGATTTATATGGGGAAAAGCCAGTAAGAGACAGACTTCATTACTGATTCTAGAGCCTTGAGAGAGAATGGACAGGTAGGAAGTTCTCCTAGCCAAGGAGGAGTGGAAAGTGGTAGCAGGAAGACTGCATGTTGGGTCAAAGACAGTGTAACAGTGTATTCCCAGCCACACAACGCTCCAACATCTGACTTCATTTCTATGGTTTCTCTTTCAACTAGCCACAGAAAACCTGAGTATTTTCAGCAACAAGCTGACAAGTCCCAGGACCCTCTACTCCACATTTGCCAGAGCTATGTCTTCCCTTTCATGGAAAAGTGTATATGATGACTCCTAACAACTTCCTGTTCTTGCTGGTTCCTCCAACTACAACAGGCATATTTTCCTTTTCAAGTGCTTATGTGTCACATGCTTGGTTCTGGGAGCCCACAATAGTTATAGAGAAATGGGATATAATTATTTCCCCAATGGCCCCCCTTTCCAGGCTAACTCAGAACAACCTAACAGAATTATGATACTATATATATTCACAATTAAAAGCACGTACCACTTTCTACCTAATCTCTTGGGCTGCTTGTACCCAAACGAAAACGCTCACCATAATTAAAGTTGCCCAAATTGCTGCTGTACTTCCCACTAGGAGGATTATAAATCTGTCTGGCATCCCTTTTTGGTCCTCCTGGAGATTTCTTGGGTGGTGAACCTGAACTTGTATCTTCATTTGCTCTCTTTTGCCTGTAACAGTGGGAAAAGCAACAATTAAAAATCACTGGATTATGCCAAAAGCCACAACACAATCCTAAATTAGCCTGTAAGCTGTAAAAGATCTGCTAAAGAGAATAGTCACATCAAAAAGTGGAGATAAAGTTCCATACCATCACAGTAACTGTTGAGTTATACAGTTATACAGGAATCACCAAAGGGCATTTATAAGGCTTTAAATTACTTAAAATATTTGGTTTCAAAGACACATGCAGTCCTCACTGTGCAAAGCTGCCAACGAAGTCTAGTAATGTGACAGGAAGGCATACATACCAAGCCCTCCAGGGCTGTATACTACCACCCTGCTTTGTAAAGCCCTGGGATGAGACTTGTACTTTAAATCATCGTTCTAACCATCATATTTTAGTAATGAGAATTTCACTGTCAATGTACTCAGGATTTGTTTACTCTGGAATCTCTTTAAAATCCATTTCTTACCCAATCTCAACTTTCTGTACAGGTTTCCAGGACAATGTTACTGTGCTCTTATATGAAGGAGGAATGTGGAAGAGATCCTGGAGAGACAAAAATCAGAATCAGCCAAGACTTCTAATGGATGTGCTGATGTTAGGGAGTAGTAGAAGGTGAGGAAGGAGACAGGAAGGCACATCTTAAAGACTGGTTTTGTTCAAGGCCCTGGGTTTAATCCTTAGCATTGAAAAAGAACATGTGAGCCAGTGGTGGCGGCACTGGCCTTCAAACCCACCATTCAGGAGGCAGAGGCAGGAAGATCTCTCTGAATTCAAGGCCAGCCTGCTCTACAGAGTGAGTTCCAGGACAGCTAGGGCCACACAAAGAAACCCTGTTTTGCAAATCAAAAAAAAAAAAAAAAGAAAAGAAAAGAAAAAGAAAAAGAAAACAAGGGGGGGGCAATTTTGTTGTAAAGGACAATGATTAAACCTCAGCTATTTTTTTTTCCTTCAAAATATCTCCAAATTCCAAATTTTAGGATGAGACATCAAGGCTGATGCCAGGGATCTTCTTGAGTACTTTTTCCCTTTAGCCCCCCCCCCCCCACTCATTCAAATAAGTTTTTGAGACAGGGTCTTTCACTGAACCAGGGGCTCATAGAATCTGCTAGACTGGTTGGCCAACTGGTTCCAGGGATCCCCCGTCTCTGCCTCCCCCGTGATGGTATTACATGCAATGCACACTTTGCCTGGCTTTTTACACAGGCACTGATTGAACCCAGGTAATAAATAGTAACATATATATTATAAAGCTTTCATTAGGAGGTGTAAATTAGGGTTGGGCATTGAGGTAGGGTGATTTCACTTTGTTGAGTGTGATCCTCCTGCCTCTACCTCTTTAGTGATAGAATTAAAAAGAACACTACACATTCACTGACTTCTGTTTTGAATGCCATTTTATTTCTTATTCTGGCAACATGACACTCATCCTCCATGTCTAATGACACTATCATTGTCCCTGCAATGCTTTCCTCTTCTTTTAGATAAAAAGCATTTTCTCCATAGCATTTCTACTACATTAGCTGAAAGCATACTTGTCCTCACTGCCAGGCTCTATGCTCTGGGTGTTACACACTAGTAGATATTTAGGGAAAAAGAACAGGAAGGTTCTTATAACTTAAAAAGCAAGGTACCACTATCCTGTAGCACAGAAAACTCTGAATTACACAGATAAGTTTACAAAGAAGGCCACAGGAAAACATTTCAGGTGCTGCACAGCCCTAAAATACAGAGTCTCATTGACTATTCAAAAAGACCCAGTAACATTAAGACCACCAGAACCAGGAGCTGCCAAGGTGGTTCAGTGGTTAAAAGCACTGGTTGCTATTCCAGAGTACCTGGGTTCAATTCCCAGCACCCACAGGCAGCTCACAATGGTCTGTAATTCCAGTTCCAGGGGATTCAATACCCTCCATGTAGGCAAAACACCAATGTACATAAAATAAAAATACATCATTCTAAAAAAAAAAAGGCCGAGTCTTAAAAAACAAAAACAAAAAACCAAACAAAACCAAACCAACAACAAAAACCCCACCAGAACGTTAAGCTACTGAAATTTCTAAGTCTACTTCTATCTGCTGACTGTTTTGCATGGCTGTCTCAGCATTTTTCAACCTTTCAAATTCAGGTTAGCTCTAGAAATGCCACTTAGTATTACAAAGAAGTATAAAGTTTCAAAATTAGGAGGGCAAAATTAGGAAGGAAATGACATCTACCCATTGCAGACACATGGAAAACCTCTTGCACTGACTCTAGTTAGCTGGCAGGTTAGGGAAGGGACTCACCTTGATTAAAACATTGATATTATTTGTTATCTTCAATGCAACAACTTTTATCTTGTTCTGTAAAGGGAACAGAAAAAAAGTTGAGTAGTTTCTGTGTGTACATCCCATTCTGCATGTAACTAGATCCACATCTCTAGGTAGAGAATTTCTAGGCACAGGTTTAAATATCTATTATATATAGGAATCTCACCCCACACCCCCATTTCTCTACCCTAAGCAAATCAACCTTGCTTCTCTGGGAGGCTAGAAAAAATGACCTGCAATTTACCTGAAAAACACAGGGCATGGAGTTATATAAGAATTATCTTAAAGGAAACCAGTATAAACTATAGGAACTTGTAATGAAAACTGGAAAGATTTCACTAGGAGTGGGATGAAGTCTGGTTTTATTATGAAAATCAGAAAGACTCAAATCCCAGCAAGGACCCACAAAGTCTGTCACAGGACTGAAACTTTTGTGTTATCAGCCAGTATTCTTACCTCCTCAGTTTTTAAGGCCTCGCCTGTTTTACCCTGGAGAGCCAATCGAAGTTGTCTGATATAGACTTGAAGGCCCCGTGCAAAGTATTGCAACCTAGATGACAAAGTATTAAATCAATAATTCATCACTTCAATTTTGTTCTTAAATAATCTACTGTGGTAGAACAATTGATAGTGCAAAAAATGGCCACCTAAACAGACAAACAAAAAGAGTACTTTCTTAAGTTGTTTGTTTCTGAGCAAGTATTTCATCAAATATTCGATGCTGAGATGGATTCTTGCTGTGCTGTCCCGACTGGCTGCTACTGTGCCCAGGTGATTACCATACCTCAGCTTCCTGAGTGGCTGACTAGAAAGAGTTTTTGGACTATGATGCCTGAATTATCAAATAGTAAACCACTTCCAGTGGAAAAGTGGAGGCTAGTTAACAGGTGACAGTGTGGCTCAAGCACTGAAAAATGTAAGATGTGGATTTGTTAATGAAATGATTCTATACAAAGTATCCTTATGAAAACCAATCACTCACTTTTCTAGCACTGCTGCTCCAACACTGTTGAATATTATCAGCAACTGCAGATACAGTTATCTGATACCTACTAGGTGCTGGGCATTTACAACCTTACTCATATCCTTACTGTCATTCAAATTTAACAGATTAGAAAAATCTGAGTAAAGTAGTTGGGGACCTTGCCCAAGGTCACAGAGCAAGTGAGAAGAGTTCATTTGTTTGAAAGTTCACTTTCCACCAGGAATTTGTAATGTCACATCTGTGAAATGTTTAAATATGTATCTTCCGGACTCTTATCTATTCCACTATATAAGGAAGAGTGAGGAGAATCAGATCTTATCAAAATCAAAACTCAGAGAGCTTGAAGATATTTCATCTTTGCCAAGAACTAAACCCCTTCTATCATATATTACCTGATTTTGAAATCTTTGAGCTTTTCTGCATTCAGTTTGGCTGTTAAGAAATCTGGAAGTTTTCTGCCCAATTGGTGAAAACTGTACAATAAACATTCCACATAACTGAACTGTAGCTTGGGCTCTTCATTACTAGCGTTCTCTCCATTTTCTGCTTCTTCTGGAGGGAGAGGCATATACTCCTAATACAGGAGAGACCAGAGTTTGCAGTTTGTTCTAAAGGCTTTCATTAGAGAGATAACCACGTAATCCTAAGGCACAGTTTTAAGACATGGAACACTAAAAACTGACTAGAAATTGAGCGAGGACATACTGGACCAACGTTCTGGCACTCAGCTATCATTAACCTTTGTTATAGCTGCTACCATTAATAATGAAAGGCCCTAGCCACCAAAGTTCAGAGACAGGATTCAATGTACACCAAGACTATACTCTTAAAGAATGTTTTCTAAAGTCTAAGACTGTAAGTGTGACAAAGACATTCAATGTCAGCCTTACAACACCCCAGCAGATACTGCAAATCTGGAAGCAGCAGATGTTGAATGTCTTCATATATGTCAAGGGCCTAAGGCTTATCTTTGGCCATTTATGTAACTGCTCACATCAAACATAAGATGATGTTTGATAACATAGCATAACATGCTGATAATGATTTTTATCAGGTGGCCTATTTTCTCCACAATTACAACTCCACAATGACAGGCTATTTCCTGGTTGTTAAACCTATTTGGCCCTAGGCAGCTACATAGTTGGTGGCCTAGAACAAATGACCTTTGCAGTGCCATCTAGTTTGTAGAATACTTAGAACAATCAGAAGAGTTCATGATACTTTTTCAGGGACATATCATTTTGATTTGGAAGCAAGGGGGATGATCTAGTCTCTAAATCACGGGTGATCAAAGCATTAGCAGCAGGAAATGCCAATATTCCAGAGACCTAGGACCTTACAACAGAGAAAGCATGAGGCCTGAGCACTCACTAGAATTAGTGTTCAAGGCACATTTCAAAAGCTAGTTCTCACTATCTAGAAATTCATTCTTAAAGGTTATAAACTGACCACCCCACAAGGAAAGAAGAAAGCTCTTACCAGTAACTTATCAAATAGTTTTCTTAAATTTGTTTCTAGTTTTTCCATGTCACCACAAAATGAACTCATCTCTGCCAACAATTTTAATACCTAAAACATATAAATTTTCCATTAGAACTATTTTTAAATGAACAAGAGCTATGGAATGAGAATAATTCTATATACCTTAAAGAAATTGTATTTATTTTCAAGTATGCTTTTCAGACTCATGTTAGAACTAATAATTCCCTAGAGATGAAGTCTTACAACTAAATGTTAAAGAAAGCAAAGGCTCTTTACAGTCATAAGGTCCTTATCGGAGCAAATCCAGATCCCCTAATTCCTAATACATCTGTGGGAGGCAAGGAAAAGAATATACATGACCCTTTCTACTATACGCTCATAGTGATTGTATTAACACAGTGAAAAATGATAAATACATTAACCAACCAAGTACCACTTAGAATCTGCAACGGCAACCAGTCACTCAAATTAAGGTTTCTTACTACTGTAGTTAGACTCTAGTCACTATCTGAAAATACTAGGAACTGCTACTATCTGGAAAATTCATCCTGCTCCATCCAATCTGAAACTAACAAGCTTAGCCTAAGATGTGAAGCAAACTACTGTGAGTATATACCTATATTCCCTGTTCTAGAGGTTGCTGAAGGAAACGGCACGTGCATTTCCAGGGTTCAGACATTCACTACTATTATGGCTGTTCAGGTCTGGCTCTATGCCAGATGGTGTGATACAGGATTGAGTCAAGTTAAATGCTGGAGAAGTGATACTGTAAACATGTGAAATACGACAGATACCATGAAAATTGTGTCTGCTACAACTGACACCCAAAGCAGGAGGGTACTCACTCCACATGGCATTAATCTGGTTTGTTTGTAACACTTGTAAATTTGTGCATATGGGCATGTGCCTGCACTTGTGGAGGTCAGAGGCCAACTTAAAGGAGTTGGTTCTTCCTTCTACCAGATGGTTTCTGGGAACCAACTTAGGTCATCAGGCTTGGTGTCTAGCACCTTTACCTGCTTAACCATCCCACTGACCCAATCTATACGGCAAACTGTCATGAGTTAAGTACCTTATTTAAAATATTCAGCCTTCAAAGGCATAAACTCCATACAATGACATCTAGAGGCAGTGCTGTCTCACCGCAGCAGCCATAATAGAATCCATAAATCACTCCCATGCAATTAATTCTGGCCTAGGAGATTACTGGCTAGCCACTGCCAGACATTTCAATTACCCCCTTGGAAATCAGATCTAAGTCAGTGACTCACATTTCTGCTGAAATATGGGAATATCTTTTTTAGCTGAAAGGAGAGTGTTCTCTTACCTCCAACTGTATATCAAGACCCTCCACTGGGGTAGTTAGGGTACTGAGATTAGGGAGAACTTGCTCACAGAAGTATGTCACAAACCTTGTAGAATGTACATTTTTCTGTAAAAACAATGCAAAAACCAAAAGTCACAAAACAAAGTCTTTTTTCAAAGATTATACTAGTAGACGGCCATTCAAAAGTGTGAACTAAGTATCCTATCATCATGTGACCTTCCTTGCAAGGTCACCTGAAATACTGGGACATGGATACATCTTGGATATCCCTTTTGACTTTCAAGTTTAGTTTAGTGGCATTTAAGTGCTGGATTTTACACACTGCACATTTCTCAACAAGGACTTTTATGTTTTTCAGACTAAGGCATATACATCTTAGACAACTTATCCAAGGGAAACAAAGCTGGAGATAGAATGCAAGTTCTCGCAAATTTTAAAAAGTTTCTAAGCAAGCCTTTAGAGAAATTTCTTGCTGCTTTCGGTTCTTACAATGCCAATCTGCTACCATTTGCTCCTCTATGCTAAGAATGCTTTTGTGGGGCCGGGTGGTGGTGGCGCACGCCTTTAATCCCAACACAGGAGAGGCAGAGGCAGTCGGATCTCTGTGAGTTTGAGATCAGCCTGGTCTACAAGAGCTAGTTCCAGGACAGCCTCCAAAAAGCCACAGAGAAACCTTGTCTCGAAAAAAACAAAACAAAAAACAAAACAAAACAAAAATGCTTTTGTGAGAAGGTCTGAGTAGTGCTCAAGTAAATATGGACAAGTTTCAGCTATGTGGAACAAAGCTCACAGAGAAGAGAGGTACGGCCTGCCGTGTGCACTGTAGCAGTCTGTCTACACAGTCAGGGTCTGAGGGGCTGAAGGTCTGCTCCAGGTCAGCCTGTTCTGCCACCAGCTCTACCAGCTGTTGTCTTCCACTCACTGTCTGTAAGCTTTTTAAGCCAGACAGTATCTTCATGAATAGAACAAATTCTTCACCAGTTACATCTTCCAGGACCTAGAAAAAGACAATTCAGAAAAGCAGCACTTATATTAGCTGAGTGGGAAAGAGAGGGATCAATAGTGAGAATGGCATTACTTCACTTATATCCTAATGCTTTTGTATGACAAAACAGTAAGTTTTAATTTCAGAGAAAGGGAAAGTTGTATTTTCTAAGAGGACCAAAATTATTTTAAAGGAAAAAATTTTTGTTGACATACAAAGCTTCACATGCAATACACAGACAAATGCACACACACACACACACACACACACACACACACACACACACACACCTTCACAGATTCACAATATATCTGATTAAAATTTCCAAAATGATTAACAAAAATACCTAAAAAGGTTCTTGGTGAGGGTGAGAAGCAATAGAAATGATTGAAAAATTCTGTAGTAAACTGGTAAATCAGTAGCTCCTAAAACTAAGCAGCCCTGCTCACATCATATGGCAACTGCCCGCAGGAGACCACACAAATGGCATTCTTATTTTAAGTCTCCTGTATCAGTGGGCTGACAGTTATACTCACTGACTAAAGCGTGCACATGACTATATAGGACATGCTGTGTAAGAACATTACCATCTTCTTGGCAGGGCAGCCACTTCTTTCTCACTGAAGGATCTTTTTAGTGAGTCAAGTCATGACAGAGATGAGGCTGAATTTTCTTTAAAAGAAAATTATTTCCCAACTTTGGCACTATAAAAAGTGGGTGAAGAGTCACCCTTTGGCAATCGTAGCCTTTCTAACTATGCTAGATGCGGAAAGCAGACAAATAAGCATGATGTGATGGTTAATGACCTAGGAGACAAACCCTTGGAGATGCCTGTGAAGACTTATATAGATGAAGCTAGCTTCTGGGCATGCCTGTGAAGGCTTATGTAGAGTAGATTAATTCATGTGGGCGACACCATTGCACAGGCTGGGGTGTGGAACTGCTGGATAAAAAAGAGACAACTAGCTGAGAACAGCATTTATTTCTGTTTCCTGACTGTGGATGCAATGCCACTAGCTGCCTCAAACTCCCATCACAATGACAGATAACTGCTTACAACTGTGGGCTAAAACAAACCTTTCTTTGCTGAAGTTGCTTTTGTCTAGTGTGGTAGTTTGAATGTAACTGTCCCCTATAATCTCATAGGGTGTGGCACTATTAGGAGGTGTGACTTTGCTGGAGTGGGTATGGTCTTGTTGGGGGGGGGTGTCATTGTTGGGGTGGGCACTGAAGTCTCCTTTGTTCAAGCTTCCCTCAATCAATTTCCTGTTGCCTGTAAGATGTAGGACTCTCAGGTCCAGCCTGTCTGCCTGCATGCCACCACGTTCCCCACCATGGTGATAAGGGACTGAACCTCGCTGAAACATTAAGGAACAACCTCAACTAAATGTCTCCTTTACAACAGTTGCCACAGTCATGGTGTTTTTTCACTGCAATAAAAACCCTAACCAAGACAATTTTGCCACAGCAACAAGGTAAGCAGCTAACATGAATGCTTTCATACTCTTAAAAGATTTGATAGGCAGTGACAAAAAATTATTATAGCTATTATTTCATTATGCTATATCATTCTGAAATGCTCCAGAATACTCTGACCATCTCAAGATGGGAAAGAAGAATAAGGAGGAATTAGGATAACACCACCAAGAATTTCAACATGATTACACTCTAAACGAGTTTGAGTCATTAAGGTGAGTGAGTGGTAAATACAAGGTAAAGAACACTTCTGCAGTGGGATATGTCTTTCATTCACCAACACTGATGGTTACCAGTGATCTCAAGGTGACTGAAACAGACCTTTTTGGACTCAGTAAGTATGAGTTCCTCTACTTCCTTAGTTAACACTTCATCTGGGAGCGTCTTGAGTTTTGTAGACAGAAATTTAATTGCTCTTTCTCTAACAATGTCTTCTCCTTGGAGAATCTGGCTAAATAAGCCACCTAACGTTCCTGTAAAACAAAAGAGCAACATTTACATTTACTTCATCATTGTTCAAACAAGTGAATAAACACCCTGAATACCATCAATGCTGGCTAAAGTCAGTCTGAAATCTTTACAGCCCTACCCAGAAAGGCCATATGCTTTGCTCCCAGGGTATCAGCCTGAGTATGACTGGCATTTCTTTTTAACCTCGATCATAAAGTCCAGGTATTTTGGAAGATTTCTTTAAAGATGCAAAAGGAATTTTTCCAACACATTTTGAGGGGAAATTTGAACTATTTTTACAATTCTATTGGAAAGTCACAAACATCTAAGTTAGGAGGCCCTTTTTCAGAGTAGTCATCACTTTTATTAAAAAAGACTCGAAACCAAGCTTCCTGGTTTCCTAAGACTTCAAGCATGACTCAGAAAGAGAACTGGCTTTACCTTTTGCATCCATCTTAAATATACTCAATAAAGCATTGTTCACCAAATTAAATTCTGCAGAGTCATCTGGGGAGAGAAACAGTAGCATGATGAATAAAGGATAAATTTAAAATACCACCTTCATTTTCAAAGTTAAGATTCAACAGCATTTTACACAGGTGATGGAATAAGTAACCTACACCTAAGCAACTCTTTCAAGAATCAGGCACCCATCATTCTTTTACAGGGATAGAGAATGACTGGGAAACATGTATGTTAAGATAGCACCAGTGTCTCACCATAGGAAACAGGTGAAATGATAAAGTGTTACAAGTCTGAAGAGAAGCCCACCCTTATGCCTTTATAAATAGAATTTAAAACCAAAAAAGTAACAGACTCAGAAGTCAAGTGAGTTTTACAATATTGAATAAAAGAAAGAAGTTCAATTTCATCTGCCAGAGGCAGGACCTCTAGGCTCACCACCCAAGCAAAACAGTCAAGAACAGCCAGTATTCTAGAGAGAATATTTCGATTAAAAGGTAACAAAAGAACCTCAACAGGTGAAATGATAATGTGTTACAAGTTTGAAGAGAAGCCCACCCTTATGCCTTTATAAACAGAATTTAAAACCAAAAAAGTAACCGCCAGTATTCTAGAGAGAATATTTCGATTAAAAGGTAACAAAAGAACCTCTCACCTGTCTGTAGAAGTTGGGTCAGTATATCTGCTACTCTTGGCAGATTCTCTCCAGTGGCAAATTGAGGCAGCTCTTTAATTGCTTGGCGTCGTATCTGGGCATGATTTCAAACAAACAAAATAACTAAAATGGCATCATCATAAAAAAGCAAAAACAAACTCAACTTTTAAAATAACTAAAACCTTTGAGATCAGCCTGGTCTACAAGAACTAGTTCCAGGATAGCCTCCAAAGCCAAAGAGAAACCCTGTCTCGGAGGGAAAAAAAAAAAGATAACTAAAACCAAGAAAAAACCATACTAAAGAGCACATGAATTGTAAAATGTATGATGCTTTTTCTTAAGATAGTTTAATTATTGTGTACATCTGTGAACCAGGGGAGAGGGAGGTAAACATGGCATAATACCCATGAGGTCAGAAGACAACACTGTGAAGTTGGCTCATTCTTTCCACTTTTCAATGGGTTGTGCGGACTCAACTTAGGGCTGTTAGGCTTATGTATAATGTATCTTTACCTGCTCAGCCATCTCACCATTCATAAAGATGAGTTCATTATTTAAAGATTTTTATTTTTATTTATGACTCTGTGTGTGTAGATGTGTGCACTACCTATGCACTGGTGCCCAGAAAGGACAGAGGGACAGAAGAGGGCACTGGATCCTTTGGAACTGAAGTTAGAGGCCACTGTGAGCACCTGTGGGTGTTGGGACAGGTCCTTTATAGGGGCAACAGGTGCTCTTAATTGCTGAGCCATCTCTCCTGTTTGTAACAGTTTTAAAAACAATTTGCCCCGTTTGTTTTTGAAACATGATACTGTCATGTTGCCAAGACTGGCCATAAACTTCTTAGCTCAAGGGATCCTCTTGTCTCAGGCTCCTAGGTAGCTGGGACTAAGAAATGTGCTACTGGCTCAACTTACTATTTAGGTTTCACAGAACAGACAAATGCAGCTGAAAGGGATATTAAGTACCAGACTGGAGCAGAGAGCTCAGCGATAACAAACATCTTTGTATGTGACTTATGTACAACTGTTGGGTTGTGACTTTTAGGCATGTTAATACGCCGTTCCTCTAGAACAGCATCCATAACAGAGCCCACACCAGGAATTATTTTAGAACCTATATTGATTACTTAATTTGAATTAAAAAAGATTCCAATTTACTAGCTCTTACATTAAAAACGATGGAGACTTTATCTAGCATACTCTGCATGAAATGCTAGTGATTCACTGATTTCATTTAGAAAGTTAAAGAGCTAATTGCTGAAAAAATTTTTAGAAGCCTGCACTAGTAACTAGAAATGCTAACAGTTAATTCTGCACCATGGAAAAAGGATCCATTCTTAAATCTGGTGATCAGTTACAAGTATTACAGTGACCAACTATGTTTTATGACACATATAATACAACTACAAGTACAAACACTGAATCAACCAACAACCTAATTTCATATGAAGCATGAATGATAATCTAAGAAAGATATGAGCTACATTTCATTTTTACCAGTGGATAATGAAATTTGTTATTCCATGCCCTTTTCATAAATACAAAATAGTAAACAGTATTTTCTAAGGTGTAGCATTCATTCTGGGTCTGGTACAAGGTAACCATACCATGATAATGGATTATGGACTTATCACTACTTTTATCATGTTACTTTTACATAGAAATAGTAGCATGCTTATTGAAGTGTCAATCATAAACTTACTGACACATCTTCATCCTCACAGAGGTCTAACTGTGCATTGATTGCAGAATCAGCCAGTTCAGGAAAATGCTTAAAGAATTTTGGAATAAACTGAGCTGCTAATCGTTTCTCCTTGGTGCCGCCTTTCACGCCATCCAGTATCACTTGGTAGGCATCTTTATGCTGGAAGGAAGATAAAAAGAAACAATGCTGAAGCACTAGAAGCTATGGAGAGATTTGCTACACATGCACGAATGCTCCAAATGTTTATAAACACTAGAGTTTTACTGCTTAAACTGGACATGACCTTTTTACTCTAGTTCCCTATTCCCCACAGCCTAGCCCATTTTATTTGTCAATTAGGAAAGAGAAATATGACCCTAATTTTAAATGGGAAAAAGCAAGTTAAGTTGTTAAATGTCCCAACATCCCATCATAGGTATCACCACAAGGCCTTATGACTGTGTCATGCTTTAAAAACGTGGAGACTGTAGAATTCTCAAAGTTGTGTTACATTTACTAAAAGATACCAGTGGCCAGGCATAGTGGTATACACTTGTAATGCAAGAAGTATTCAGATAGCTGAGGCAAGAAGGTGGCAAGTTTGAAGACAGTGTAAATTACATAGCAAGACCTGTCTTACCCTGCCTCCCACCTACAAGGACCTGTTCTAACTAGTATCTCGAGAAAGGTGAAAGGAATACATCTCTGAAATTAAGTAATTTTAGCAAAGTTTAATTTCATCTTCTATTTTAGAATGTGAAAGCAGCAACAATTTATATAGTCAGCCAATTTTGGATTAAGACAAATTCTAACATTCATTGCACATGAGAATACACCCAAAGCTCACATTTCTGTCAAATAATTTTTAAGTGTTCTCGGGCATTCAATGTAAATTCTCAACAAGTTCCCAGTTGTCCTTATAAGGATACCTCCCAACTGGTGCTTTTACTAAATGGCAAGAAATACAGAGTAACTTCTATATGGCCATATAAATGCAACTTCAATAAGAATAAAGTTCCCTAAACTGTAATCTTGATACTACATTGGACACAGTGGTGGCCACTTTGCCAGGGGATATACTGAGTGCTGTACTTACTTCATACCAGGAAGAGAGAGTAACTAATAAATATCCACCAAACTTTTATCCTAACACCTTTTGTGGCTAATACTGGGCTGAATGACAAATAAAGCAGAATGGAGTTATGGACATGTGAAACAGACAGTCAGCTTCTCATAAACAGACATGTCCACGAATAAGGCTACCTTCTTCATGAAATGCAGGCATGATATCACTCTTCATGGAACTTAAGTACTATGTATGTGTATTGCCCAGCATGACATAACAAGACAGTTGTGAGCCAGCATGTGGGTGCAGGGAATTGAACCTAGGTTCTCACTTGGCAAGAGCAACTGGTGTTTTTAGCCCCTGAGCCACCTCACCAGACCCAACTATAAATATTTTGATGCTTTTCTAAAACCATGTTTTGGTATATTTTCAATAACAATAAGTAGAACTCCAAATTCTTCAAAGGTTCCTTCAAAGAAAACATAAGGTACAATTTGAGCCATTTTCATCAGTATATTCTACTAAAAAATTGTGTGCATGGGGGGGGCAGGGCATAGAAAACATGATGTGGAAGTAAAAGGGGGCATACTGTGGGTGGAGAGATTTAAGCAGGGAGTGAGGCAGAGACAGGGAATAGGGAAGGGTGGTGGTGGTGTTCACCAAAAACCAAGGATGTATGAAAAAGCATAAGGAACCCTGGTAATGGGTAAGCTAATTTAAGAGTAACAGAGTTTGAACAGAGGTGCCTTCTGGGCATTCCCAGAAGGTACAGGTTATTATATAAAAACCCAAGTGCCAGCTTTGGGCCTCTTCCCTATGCATTCTTGGTGAGGGAGGTCTCTAAGGTTCCCTTAACAAAACAGATACTTGCCACTGTGGTTGGCTGCCCACCAGAACTAGCAGTATGACCTTACTGATGAAGATAGTCCATGCTTTGGTTGAGGGACAGAGAAATCAGGTTGAAAATAAGCTGGAAGCTTCCTTCCTGCTGGCCAGCCCTTGGAGTGTCTGAAGGTACTTGACATCAACAGTCTTAGCTGTGAACCCTGACATGCCAGGCAAGATATGCCCATTGGAGAAACAGTGGTGAGACTGTTACGTATGTAACCATCTGCTTTCTGACTGGAATTCAGGCTCAATTCATAAGAAGGAATTCTCAGCTGGTACTGTAAACCTGGTCAGAAGCCTGTGGCTGCGAAGGTCATAAGGCCAAGTGGGGAAACTACAGCTGTTATTTCGCCAAATGGACATGTGTCCATCAAATATCCATCTAAGTAATTATATTTATTCCCACAGGTTAGTGCTGCTGTCAGCACTGCTCAGAGAAACTTGTTTGCAGTGGAGAAAGGAAGGGCAGAGACTCTTTATGTAATCAAACTACTGAGAATAAGTGACTGTTGAATGCTCAGTCATAAATGGGACATATGTTATCCCCTCTAGGCTTAGGGAACATTACAGAAGGGACGGCAGAAGAATATTAGAGTCAGAGGATGGAGTGAAGTGTTGTGGCAGTCTTCAATTTACAGCAGCTGTGACGACCTGCACAAGACTGTGCCCATCAACATACTGTCACAAAGTGGGAAGGGAAACCAGGAGGCTGCCCCCCTCACTAGTTTCTGGGGAGAGGAATGACATCTCTTCAATGGTGCAAGCACTGGTAAGGTGCCCACGCTCTGTAAATAACCCTCATCTATGCTCTTGTGTAATTCACATGAAACTCTGGGACATAAACAACAAGATTAAAACATGAAAGCAGAACAAGCTGGAAAAAGGAAGGGGTCAGTAGAAAGAGAACAAACAGGGTCTGATCAAAACATACTATCTATGTACATATATGAAAATATCACCATGAAACCATAGTGTATAATTACTATATACTAATAAAATAAGCTGCAGCAGTAAGGTCAAAACACAGGAAGTATGCATTAACTGGTCTGAGATTAAGTGAAAGATGGGACTTTAACAAATATATTTTTTGAGTAAAGAAAAAAGACAAGGGATCTGGGGTGTAGCTCAGTGATGCTACCCTTGCCTGGCACACAATAAGCACTGGGTTCTATGCTTAGCAGTGCAAAAAACCTCAAATATAAACAGAACATGGAAAGAAAAAAAGTGTTTCAGCTAAACTATATTACTGCTTTCTTCCTTGACTCAACAGTTTGCATTTGATACTATTTAGGTTGCTAATATTTTCATATTTCTCAGGAATTTGAACTTGGTCCTTGGCTGTAGTTTAATCATACTAAAAGAATGGTATTTCATGAAACACAAGTCAGCAAATCAAACCTCTTCCACTCCAGGAGGCAATGCACTCAGTGTTAGGGAGCAGAGGACAATTAGAGTTGTGATTACAAAGTATCTTAGCTTATGAAGGTCAAAAGAAACCTGAGGTTCTCTCCTTCCACCATGTACATATTAGGTAGGGACTGTACTCAGGTCATCAGGCTTGGTGGCAGGCCATCTCTCCAGGCCAGATAAGTTTTTAAAGGATAGACTATCACTATGTAGCTCAGGCTGCCCCAAAACTTGTTATGCAGCTTAGGCTTGCCTAGAGCTCCTCCTCCTCCCTCTTCCTCCAGAGTGCTGGGAATATGGGGGGTGTTCCACTAGACCAATTGAAGCATTTACATTTTAAAATTAAGTAAAAATGTGAAATAAAGGTGGGTTACACATTGTTCTATCATGGCTTTTTGGAGGCTGGAGGCAGACTGCAGTGAGGAGGGCCAGAGGAGAGGACCTGAAGGAGAGTGGGGGAGGCAGGTGTATTACAACATGGAAGTAACAAGGGAATGGAAGACTGAGACATTAACATTTATTTAGAATTTATCTCCTGCAATCTGCTTATTAGAAATGTAGGCTCTCACCTGTCTATAAAGTAAAGCTCTCTTCATTTATCAGAGTTAGACCTTGTACATTTTTTTTTGCATATTCCTTCTTTGTATATATGTAAGACAAGATACAGTGCAAGGATTTAACACTTATCCTCACAGCTTAGTAAATTTAGTAAAGGAATAAGAAAAATCCATACATGAAGTAAAATACAAATATGAAGTACTATCAATAAATCCAGAAACAGTGACAAGGAGGTTCCAAATGGATCTGGGCTGGAGAGATGGCTCAGTGGTTAAGAACACTGGCTACTCCTCCAGAGGGATGGACTTGGAGCACCCACATGGTGAATCACAACTGTCTATAACTCCAATTCCAGGGAATCTGACACCCTCTTTGAACAAAACTCACATGAAGTAATAAAAATTAAAAAAAAATTCTAAAAAAAGAGAAAGATCTGCTGCTTGAAGTAGCCAATATGTCTTGGAGAGGGAGGTTGGGGTCTGGGGAGACAGCTGTCTAGAAAGTGCTTGCCACTTTCTAGTCCAAACCCTGGAATACCTGGGAAAAGCTAGGCATGATGGTACTGCTATTAATTCCAATGGGAGTGGAGACAGGAGGATTCCTGGAGCTTGGTGCTCCAGGTCCCAGTGATACTATTTCATTAAATAAGGTAGACAGTTCCTGAGGAATGATACAGAGGTGACCTGTGGCCTCTACATGCATATACACATCCCCTTCTAGGCCTCAAGGGACTTGGGTTTTTCCTTGTATTTGAGGGTGCTGCTTTGAAAGACTGTTGACCTAGAGAGGGGAAGAATGGTTTGCAGTAGCAGAGCTGAAAAACCAAATTAAAGACAACAGATCAAAACTGCCAAAGTCAGCTTCAGAAGGGTCTACACAGCATAGCAATCTGCTAGGGGATGCAATATGAAAATTTATTTTGCTAAACACAAAAGGTTATTTTCTCTTTTCTACAATAGGTGATGTGTGTTCCCCATTAAACTAGCTCTTGCATTTTGTTAGTTAAAAACACAGCAACATCCTAAGGCCCACTATGTTTATTGGTGAGCATTTCCAGGTGTCTTCTCAAAAAGGGAAGAAGTACCAATGCAGGCAGGACTCACTGTATTGGTTATGCTGCAGTTAGTGTCTTAAATAACATGGTCATCACAATGTCATGAAGATGATTACTACCCACTATCCACAAGCCATCATGCTAGGTCCCAATGCCCAGCACTTAGTATCTGGCAAAAGCTCAAAAAACATACTGCATACACAGCATTCACGAAATTGCCAGTACTAACTTGAGCTAGAAAACCAGGTCGGTCCGTCTCTGTCTCTCCCTCTCTCTCCTCTCCCCCAGCCCCCACATTTTTTCAAGACAGGGTTTCTCTGTGTAACAGTCCTAGCTGTCCTTGAATTAGCTCTGTAGACCAGACTGGCTCTGAACTCAGAGATCTGCTTGCCTCAGTTTCTCAAGTGCTGGGATTAAAGGCACAACCAATGCCTGGCCACACCTTCTGTCTCTTAAGCAGCAGTTTTGCCTTGAGAAAGCCATTTTGGACCTCCCAAGGAGAGCTATCAATTCAACCTGGTTTTTATAATAAAGCTAACATAGAAGGTTGGGGAGGCAACTCAGCAGGTAAAATGCTGGCATATGATCACGAGGACCTGAGTTCAATCCCCAGAAGTCACATAAAAGTCTGGCTCACAGTTGTGCATCTGTAATCCCAGGACTAGGGTAGCAGAGACAGGAGTACTTCTGGGCTTGTTAGCCAGACTGGCAGAATGGGTGAACTCCAGATTCAGTCAGTCTGACTCAAAAAATAGTGTGGACAGTAAATAAGAAGGACACCTGCCTGACATTAACCTTGGCCCCACACGAATGTGCATACACAGGTACACAAACACACAGGAACACACACACACACACACACACACACACACACACACACAGTAAAAATGAAATTTAAAAAAATCTAAATGATAACAGAGGATCTGTGCAACTCTCACTTCTTATACCCAGGTCTCACTGGGGCCTGACACTTGCACATTCAGGAGCAGACTGGAGTTTAGACTGGGGATGATCAACCTGTACAGTCTACAGTATTCCAGATAAATCTGAGGGAATGAAAAACAACTTAAACATATGTGGCTGCAGGCATTTCAGAAAAGGATACCTGCTTCTCCCCATACAAATTGAACTTGCCTTCCATCTGCCCTAATGTACTGTATGTAGATGGCTATCAAAAAAATTCTTTTCCCCACTTCAGCAAAAATTGGTGGGGATGAGGCAGCAGGAAGTACATAGTCTCAAAGTTTTCCCTGGAAAATTCCAGATTTATCTCTTTAGGAGACCACCATCCTTGAGTGTGGCGGTGGAGGCACATCTTTAATCCCAGCACTCGAGATGCAGGCAGATCTCTGAGTTCGAGGTCAGTGTGTTCTATACAGAGCAAGTGCCAGGACTACACAAAGAAACCCTGTCTCAAAAAAACAAAACAAAGAAACCAAAAACAAACAAGCAAGCAAGCAAACAACCAAACCCAAAACCTAAAAAAGGAGAGTACCATCCATGAACCGGTAGGGAATCCCTATTCTAGGTTCCATCACTGGCCTCTCTTGCTGATGTTCGACAAAATTAACTTTTGGTAGAACAGACAGCTACACTCCTCCCCAACTCGTTACAAACACAAACAAAAGTACACTGGCCAAGGCTGCCATATCACTTCACAACGGGCCTAACAGCGCGTATACACATGTTCGGAACCTAAAACACATTCTGACGATATCTCTACAGACATGTTAAGTAGGGAAGGAAAACCACTTGAAGTTGGTACATTCACAATACGGGTAAAGTTCTAACACGCCCCCCTTCCCCGCAAACTTGGTAAGGTTCTACTTGAAGTGCATACATCCTAAGGGACAGGAAGGGACTCCTCCCCTGCTCAGCTCAAGGACGTTTCGCTTTCTATGGTGTGGGATGAGCACACAGAGAAATCACAAAGCGTCTGAGCACGGAAAACGTGTATTGCTAAGCCCTCCTGGCCAGCCTGGGTTCTTCTTCCCAGAGGATACGCACATGACTTTACCAACTCAAGCTCAACACAAAGCTTCAAGGCTTAAAAGGAGAATTCTGCAGCGTTAAAGACAACCGTGCCCGGGAGAAATTTAATTGCTCTTTCTCTAACAATGTCTTCTCCTTGGAGAATCTGGCTAAATAAGCCACCTAACGTTCCTTTTGCATCCATCTTAAATATACTCAATAAAGCATTGTTCACCAAATTAAATTCTGCAGAGTCATCTGTCTGTAGAAGTTGGGTCAGTATATCTGCTACTCTTGGCAGATTCTCTCCAGTGGCAAATTGAGGCAGCTCTTTAATTGCTTGGCGTCGTATTGACACATCTTCATCCTCACAGAGGTCTAACTGTGCATTGATTGCAGAATCAGCCAGTTCAGGAAAATGCTTAAAGAATTTTGGAATAAACTGAGCTGCTAATCGTTTCTCCTTGGTGCCGCCTTTCACGCCATCCAGTATCACTTGGTAGGCATCTTTATGCTGGCCCACTTGCTCCGTGGCATCGGCGAGGATGCCGTAGTTGCGGTACAGCTCCTCCACCGTCGGCATGCTGAGCGCCAAGTTCCGGGCCCGCTCCCGACGCCCAACACGCAGTCGGCGCCACCGCCGCCTCCGCTAAACTTATCTAAGCCGTCGACCGCACTATTACGCCGGCAGATGCCGCCGGGGCCGCCACCAGTCACCAGTCACCGCGCACAGCACGGCCCCGCCCCCAACGTCTACGTAGAGACAGACGCGTCGGGAGCGGCCCGAGGCC